CCAGCCAAACCACTGTGTCAGGCACTCCTGAGCTGACCCTCCCTGGGAGACAGGACCAGGAGTCCCGAATGGGGTGGGGAAGCCACAGGCGCTTAGCCCTCCTCCCCATCACAGACCCAGAAGGCCTGGGCAGCGGCTGCAGGGTCCAGCCCTGGTGTCTGACATCCATGCTTCTCCTGCCTGCCCCATGTGCCCTGGGGGATGGACCCACTCGAGGCTACTGTGACCCCAAAGCAGCACCCAGGGTGTCAGTCCACACAGGCCCTGCTGGGGGCTCTGCCTCGTCCTCTCTCATGCTGCCCCCCACCCCCACCCCATCTTCCAGAAGTGTTGGAAACACATTTAGTAGTAAGACCATTATAACGAGAAGGAGCCACAAGTCCCGGCTCAGAAGTGAGAACTTCTCAAACGGAAGGCCCCGCAGGCTGGGGGAGATACAGCCGGCCCCCAGGGAGAACAGACACAGAGCGTCCCTGCAGGTCCCAGGGGCCCAGTGAGACAAGCTTGGACACACGTAGTCCTGCTGGGTCACTGCTGGGCTCTAGGCCAGGGACTCTATCCGGAGCAGGGAGGAGGGGGCCGGGGAGGGCTCTCCAAGCAGCATCCCCACAAATACCGCTTCTCGGGCTCTGCCCCAGATACCCTGGACCACAATGTCCTGGCTTCTGCTGCAACCAAACAGGACTGCAGTTCCAAAGCCAAAACGATAGGAAAATCAAGTCGGATGGTCAGAATCGGGAGCTCCTGGACCCTCTGCCCCGTCTACACTGCACAGGCAAAGGCTTGTCCAGACCTAGCCAGGAGCACACAGTATACCACGGCTGTGCCACGGTCACCGGTGGTCTCTGAGCAGCACAGACCCCCGACCTGCAGGGGAGACAGCAGGAGCCAATGGCTGGCCCGTCACCCTCTGCACCAGGCTCTCTGGGGCATGGATGTGGCCCTGTCCGGCCCCGTCCCAAAGCTCTGGGCCCCCCCACGCAGCCTCAAGGCTGGGCAGACACCAGGCTTCCCACAGGGACAGGAGGGCAGGGGGGCAGGACACCCACCGGGAGCTTCCCCTGGGGAACTGGCGTGGTCCCAGCCCAGCTCTGCTGCACCCAGGAGGGAGGCCTGTGGAGCCCAGGGCTGCATGCTGCCCGGGCCAGCGGTCAGTCCACGCAGGGCGGGCGCACCAAGGAGCAAAGTCTAGCCAGTGCACATGGAAACTCATCTCTTAATCCTCCAATTATCATACCAGAATCCTCCCCCCAATCCCCAGCGGTAAACGCTAAGCAAACCATCCACAAGAAATTAACATATTTCCCTCCATTTTTTTTCAGCTGTTTTTTTCCCAGCAGCAAATACTTAAAACAGAGCAAATGGACCATCAAAAACTGACCCGCTCTCCAAATGGGAGACTGGGGAGAGGGACTGCCTGCAGCAGGCGGTCCGGGTGGGCCTGGCAGGCACGTGTGCATGTGCGGGTGGGTGTGAGGGCACACGTGTGTGGGGGCACACGTGTGTGTGTGTGCAGGGCAGTTAGCGGTGCACCTCGGACCGGCAGCCCTCCCTCCAGAGTCCGAGCATCAGCCAGCCAGGGTTCTTTCCGGAAGAAGGGCACCCCAAGGCCACGTGGGGCCAGTGCCCTCCTGGAAAGGGGGTCACAGCCCGATTTCTCCTGGCAAAGCCTCAGGCCAGGGTCCCGCCATAGCAAAGGCCACAGGGCATTTCTGTCGTGAGGGACTCATATCTGTGCGTGTACAGAAACCACTTAATGCCAAGCAGGAAACGCATACCCCAAAGGGCAGCAGACACTGCCAGCCACACGCCGAGAGAAAGCACCTACAGCTGCCTGTGAACACAGTATTGCACAAAACACCGTGATTCGTGAAAGAAAACACAGCCAAGTGACTTAGCCAGAATCCTCTCCGATCGCAGCCTAATGCGCTTCCTGGGGGCCCTGCGGCCTCCCCACAACTCATGCAGCGTTGGGACTGCGATTTTGGGAACACGGTCTCGGGGGCAGAGCTAGGGGACCGAGTTCTGGGCAGGCCACGTGCGCCCTGCCTTCCTCAGGCCCAGCCCTTCCTGCCTGGATGTCACCGCCCAGCACAGCCCACCGTCCCGGGCCCCCACCAAGCTCTGTCATCGAGCAGGACAGGGATTCTGCTCTGGCCTCCACCACTTGTGCTGCCTCAGTGTCTCCTGGGCCGCCGGAACGTGCTGCTGTCGTGGGGATGGGCAGGGGACAAACTCCCAGGTGGGAGGCCCTGACACCTCGGTTATCTGTCTGTGGTACTTGTGGCAATTCCACGTGAGCAAAAAATGACCACAATGCTTAAAAACAAAATTAGTTGGATGGGCAGAGAATTCAGCTGGGACCATCACCAGAGAAACGAGCCCAGAGGGGTTAATCCGTGTCTCTCAGATCGCAGGTCTGGGGCCTAGCAGGCCTGGGCAGGAGGAATCTCGGCATCCAGGGGCCCCCACAGCCGCAAGTGGGCTCCCAACCCTGCCAGGCAAGTGCATGTCTGTTTGCACACAGTGGTCAACGGCAATTTGCGTGGGTCTGCACGTGCCCCCGGATGGGTGCGGTCATCTGGGGGCCTGGCAGGTGTGGCCCCTCCCAGGGCATGTCTCTCCTGTCCCCAGGCTCTGAAACGACCTTCTCTCTCCCTGCAGGGTGAGGTCTCTGAAGCCCTGGGTCCCAGAGACACCAGGTGCCCTTGACCCGGAGGCTGGGCACAGGCCGTGGGAAATTTCCTACATTACTTTCACAGCATTTGGGAAGCATCTAGATAGACACTGCTAGACCTCCCAGCCAGGAGCCCAGCCCAGCCCTGGTTCTCCGCATTCCCCCAAGGAGGCCAGCCGCTCAGCCTCCTCTGAGTGCAGGTGTCCAAGACTGTGGCAGGGTCGGGGGGAGCTCCGTGCCCTTACTCAGGGGCTCCACAGACCTTCGAGAACAGCAGGCCAGCGCCCACTCACCTCCCCGGCCAGCCTACCTCTGGGACGTAGGCCCAGAGAGCCCACGTGTGCCCTGCAGGCCTACCTGTTGGGGTTGTACTCGAGCGCTCCAACCTCCTCACTGGCCTGCAGCAGGTCCAGGATGCCCGCGGCTGAGCCCCCGCTGTCTTTCTTCACTTTGGCGTTGCGGGCAGGCTTGGTGTCCGTGTCGATGTGCAGCGAGCCCTCATCAGAGGACTCGTCACTCTGCCGCGGGGATAGAGCCACGGATCAGACAGGGCTTGAGGGACAGCTATTGTCTCCCTCTGGCCACAAACAGGTTTCTCACAGTCTTTCAAGAGCCGGCCCTTAGAACAAGCACTGCGGGGCCTGCTGGCCAGACACACACAAAACGGCTAGACCCCAGAGCTTTCTGTCGGGCCCCAGGGGCCTGTCCCAGAAGGCTGCCCTATTTCCCCAGGAAACCCTGGTTCACGGAGCCTTCCACAGGAGCGCCGGTACTGACAACAGATGGGAGGAGAGCCCGTGTGGGTGGGCAGGGAGCCGGTGGGAGCACAGGCCCACAGGCAGAGCCCCAGTTAACAGCCACTGGCAGGTAGCTCTGGGGACCCCTGGCCTCCTTGCGAACAGCCACCGTGTCCCGGGCTGGATGCAGCCTAACTTATCCACCCCCAACCATGGTGTAGGACCCCCGGCAGGCCTGGCCCCGCTCCCCCCACCATTCATCATCTTCATGGTGGCACAGCCACCCACAGAGACCCGAAGACCTTCCTTGAGTCCCACCCCTGCGTTCATCCCTCCCTGTGGGTCCTATGGCACGTGGCCCCACTCCAGAACCCAGGCCAACCCTCATGGAAACGCCCGGGGAGCATGAAGATGAGCCACGTCCCCTGCGAAGCAGGACGGCCAGAGACAGGGATGGGCGTGTGGCCTGGCCTCCCGGGGACCCGGGGCAGACACACCTTGTAGAGTGCCGAGTCCAGCTTTGGCTTCGTAACGGGCGTGGGCAGCGGCTCCTTCCCGTCCAGTAAGACTGAAAGCACAGCAGAGATGCGTCTGGCAGAGGCCACGGGAGCACGGCCGCCCCCCACCCCCTGCGCCCTCACTCACAGGACAAGTCTCTCTTGGGGGCGCTCCGCTTCCTCCTGATGGGGAACTCGTCAATCTTGAGCTCCCCATCATCGGACACATACTCGTACTCGTCCCGCACGGGCTGGGGCTTGTCCTCCTTGAAGCTCTGCACGGCCCCAAACACGCCGGGGCCAGGCTGCGGCTTCAGGGCCTTGGAGCTGCGGCGCACACGCGGGCCGGTCAGTACCATGGGACAGCGGCCGGCCCGTCCTCCAGCTGTTGGAGGGTGTGCTCCCCCCGCCCCCCCGAGGCTCTGATCCCAGCTCGATTTCAGAGGCAGCCAGCATCCACCGCCTGGGGTCCCCGTGGAGCTGTGTTGGAAATATTAATTCCGACTGTGGTGCAGACACAAAGTTCTAAAAGCTATCATTCAACTCGGGTGAGGTGGGGCTCCGACGCGTCCAGCAACGGGGACAGCAAGCCAGGGCTGGGCCTTCCGCTGCTCCCCACAGGGCAGCTCCAACTGCCGGCATCTGAAGCATACACACCAGGTGGCAGGGAGCCCTGCCGGATGTGCACACCGGCATGCACACACAGCTGTGATATGGTGTCCACGCACACGTGTGCACGCACAGAGTCCCATCCACCGCTGCCTTCTCCATTTCCAAAGCTTCAGTGCCCAGCAACCGAGCTTCAGACAATCAAGCATGTGCTCGGGGCCACGAGGTCCAGGCGACAGGCCCTTCCCCACAGGCCTCTGGGCCCCAAGACCACCCAGACCAGACCCAGGCCCCTGCTCACTGAGCAGTCTCGGCACACTGTCTAGAGGTCTTGGGACTAATGGGATGTCGGGCCAGGCTCTGCACGGCGCTGGACGTCGCCCCGCCCTGCTTCCCCACCACCTGCAACAAGGAAACTGAAGCCCACGGCAGAAAACTGGCCCCATTCCCACTGGGATGTACTGCTTCCCAGCCGGGGGCGCCCACCCCAACCTCAGACTCAGCGAGCAACTGCGCGTGGGACCCTGGCTGACAAGGGAAGGGGCTTCTCGGCTGCCAAGCTGCTCAGCAGACACAGACCCCTTCTGCCGTCTGGAACACCGACATGCCCACTCCCACACACACCCTTCCTGCCTCTCAGCTCAGGGCCACCTCCGCCAGGAAGCCCTCCCGATTTCTCGGGCCCCACAAGCCCTGCACTTCTATCCTCCACAGCCTCCATCACAGCCATAATTTGGGGCACATTTGGGAACGATGGGTTCACACAGGCCTCTGAGCCCCGAGGCCAGGACCCTGACCCACCCTACGTGTTCTGTGCCAGCCCAGGGCAGCAACTGGGCCGGAGGCCACCCAGTCACGCTCTCCCCTCTGCAAGCACACACCAGCTGGCCCCTCTCCACCCACCAGAGCTATCAGGTTGGGAGGTGGGGAAAGGTTCTGTCTGGTGATGTCAGCCAGCTCTGGAAGGGGGGGGGGGGGCTCACCTGGGGACCCCTCCAGGAGGTCGTGTGTGTGCATGTGGGGTGTGTGTGTAGCGTGTACGAGCCCGTGTGATGTGGGGTGCGTTTCTGTGCGTGTGTGCTGTGTGCAAGCGTGTGCGCCTGCCCCTGCAGGCTGAGTGTGCACGTACCCCAGCAGTCTCTTGTTGAAAGAAAACGAGAACTTGGTGTCCTTGTTTCCTGAGAGAGGAGACTTCTCCAGCTTCTGCTCCTCCTCCATCTTCAGCAGGGAATCGGGTTTGCTGTTCTGAAAAGAAAACCCAGGGCTGTCACTGGGCTGCATGCAGGCAGCCAGTGGGCGGAGGTGTTGGGACTGGCCGGCCTCCTCCCTCGGACCACATCATCCAGGAACCCCATTCTCTGTAGCGCCTAGGCTCACGTGTGTGCAAACGTGCGCACACACACACACACACTCCTCACCTTGTACTTCCACTTGGCTTCTGACTTGCTCTTGGTTTGTTCTCGGATTTCCAGCCTCTCCACATCATTCTGTGAACTGATCACCTCCTTGTTGGGCACACTCAGGACACTCTTTGTGGCCTAGAAAATAGCAGTCATGACCCAGCAGTGGACACAGGAGAGGGTCAAGGATCTCTGAGGCTACAGGGCAAAGTGAGAGCCACACAGCACAGAGCCCCTGCCTCCTGCTGGCTCACGTGCAGCAGCTCAGCTACCCATCCACTCACCCCATCTATCCACTCATCATCCGTTCATCCACCCCATTCACCCACCATCCCATCCCCTCCATCCATCCATCCACCCCAAACACCCACCCATCCACCCACCCACCCACCATCGTAACCATCCATCCATCCATCCATCCATCCGCCCACCCACCCACCACCCCATCTATCCACCCACCTATCCACCCATTCATGTACCCTCCCCCCCTCATGCCCTCCCTCCCTCTTCCTGCCATCCATCCACCTGTTCATTTGTTCATTCATCCACCCTCTCTGCCTCAAGGAAAGGAAAACCAATGTGCCCCACTGGAGCCCTGTGACACTGGCCCTGGTTGTCAGTGATTCCCCGAGAAGGGGTATCAGCCTCCCACTAGCAGGAGATCACTCAATGGGGCCGGGTCTCAGTGTCTCATGGTCCCTGAAGCCCACGCCTAAGGCCCTCTGGTTACACTGGTCAGGGCCAGGCCTGTCTCTCTCACTGATTATGGGGGCTCAGGCCCCTCAAGTAACTGCTCACATCGCCAGTCCCCCTTCTACCCCCCACCCCCACTGCTCTCGTGGGTGCCTGGCCCACCTTCAGGTCCCAGAGAAGACTCAGCCAGCTTGTCCCCCCGCGTGACCCCGTGTGGGACCCCCGTCCCAGCACAGACACCACTGCCTTCGCTGGGAGGCTCTGTCCCCACTGCGCCAAGCTCGTTGGGCACAGCCCACCTGCCCCCCGCCCCTAGTACAAGGACACGGCAGCCCTGGTTCTGGGCTGCGGGCCAGCCTCTGAGGTGTCTGTGGACCCTCCGACAGGAGGGTGAGACCACCCACCTTGCCTTTCTTGGGTGGCTCGATCTTGGTAAGCGCCTCCTTGGTGTGGGCCTCCAGCAGGTCCAGGTTGGGGATGGTGGGAGAGGCTGCCCCCCTGCACTTCCTCCCTTTCTTCTTGCCCCCATCCTTGAGCTTTAGGGGCTTGGGGGGCTTTGGGGGCTTCGGAGGCTTGGGGGGTTTGGGGACTTTGGACGGTTTGGGCATCTTCACGGTTTTGGGAGTCTTTTTCTTGGACACTTTCTCCAGGAAGGACCGAGGAGGGCTGGCCTCAATAGGGGATGGGGGCTCCTCCTTCTCCCGGTCCCCAAAACAGACCTCATCTGAGGAGATGGCCGGGGTCACTTCAGGTCGGGTGGCCTTGGAGGCATTCTGGGGCAAGGACAAGAAGAGGTGGTCAACCACCTCCTGCCAGGAGGGCCTCAGCCCAGGCCGTGGGAGACAACCCAGCAGAAAAGAGCATCCGTCTACATGCTTGCATCTGTCCTATGGCATCCGTAGGATACACCCATCTACACCACCTCACACTCACGTCTGTCCTACAGCATCCATACGATACACCCACCTACACCACCTACGGGACACCCTCACGTCTGGCCTACAGTGTCCATAGGATACACCCGTCTATACCACCTACGGGTCACACTCACGTCTGTCGTACAGGGTCCGTAGGATACACCTGGCTACACCATCGACCAGACATGTTCGTGTCTGTCCTACAGTATCCACAGGACACCGTCACATCTGTCTACACCATCATGTGACACATCCATCTACAGTACCCCCATGACAGGATGCCGTTCGTCTACACCGTCAGCTACCTGACCCCTCCGCCTCCTTGGTGGGAACCGTGTCCCACCCTGCAGCACAGAGAAGCTGGGGGCAGTCCGGGCTCACGCAAGCAGGGTCTCCAGAGGCTGGAACTGTCCTTCCTCCAGTCTCCTCCCCGCCCCTTGGGAAAGCTGCAGAGGAGCCCCATCCCGTTTTCCCAGGGCTCCTGCCAGGAGGTCACAGGCAGCCACAGGTGCCTAGGAGTTTGCACTGTGCCGGTGACCCTGCCCCAGAGGGCTGGGGGAGGAGCCATCTCAGACACCACTGTCCCTGGCGGGCAGCTCTGGGGAGGGCCAGGGAAGGCAGGCAGAGGGTCCCCCTGCCAGGGTCGGCGGCCTCCGGGGGTCCGCCCTACCTCGCTGAGCCGGATCTCTTTGGCGAGGTCTTTGATGAGCTGGGAAGGTTTGAAGTGCTCTGGGAGTTCGTCCTCATGCTCCGCCAAAGCCTGAAGGACAGCACACACAGGCCCGGGCTGGGTGCTGCTGTCGACCGTCTAGGCCACGCCACCCCACCCCTTCCCACCCACAGGGGCCCTCCGACCCAGGCCCCATCAGACAGGCAGGGCAAGGCTCTGTCATGACCCCACTCCACAGGTGGAGAAACAAAGTCCCAGAAAGGACGACCTGCCCGAGGCCACCACTGGCTGGAGCGTGGACGTGGGCGGTCCCTTCTTCCTGGGCACAAGGCTGCTACACCTGGCCATGTGGCTGAGGAGGGGGGATGGACACCAGATACTGTTCCAGGCCTTGAAGCCAGAGATGTGGATACAGGACAGCCCTGGGGGATCACCAGACAGTGCTGCTGGGGGACACGGCGGGGGCAGGGGGTGCGGGACATGGCAGTGCTGCTGGGGGCACCTTGTAGGGTAAAAGGTCTGTTGCTGTGGAGGGCACAACGTGGGGACACAGTTAAAGGGATGCCCACATCACAGAGCAAAGGCCACTTCTGAGCTGATGAGCTGATGCCTAGATGGGCCCAGGGCCAAGAGGCTGATCCCAGCTCACCACCCCGCCCTGCCCCCTCAGGGGCACTCCGTGGTATCTCCACCACCCACCTTACCCCCTGCAGACTCTCCAGGCCCCTGGGCCCCCCCGCTGCGCCTTGGGCCGGGCACTGCTCCCCCTACCCCGCTACAGGTGAGCTCTTCACAGGCTGGCTCCCACTAGAGGAAAGGCTCCCCGCCCGGACCCACCCCTCTGCCCGCTCATATGGGGCACATCTCCCTACCTGCTTTTTCGTCCATGATCTAAAAGCACCATTGAGAATTTTAGCTCCTTGGACTAGATGAGGGGGCAGCTGCTTCCCAGATTTGTGAGAACCTGGGCGGGGAGGCAGAGGGATTTGATCTGGTGGGCGTGTGCCCGCCCCGCCCCTCCCCGCCCACCACCTGCGGGCCACTTCACGCGGTGGGCGGGGCAGGGGCGGAGTCCGGCCAGACCTCTGCCCACTGCCACCTGCCCAACTGCCAACGGTTGCTCTCGGAACCTCGGGGACCCAATCCAGGTGCCCCGCGAGGGCAGGACTGGCGCTCCCCCCACCCCCACCGTCCACCCGCAGGGTCCAGGTGTTCCCCCTCCACGTGGCTCCCCGCCCACCTCAGTGAGGGGCCACAGGCGCACCCACACCTCACGCTGCCCCTGCATAGCTGCGGTACGGGGTGTCCCTGCGGTGGTGGGCCAGGGCAAGCACGGTCTCAGAGACGCCCTGGGGGGCTGTGCGAGCCCCCAGGAAGGGGACAGAGTGCCCCCTCTCCGGCCGGGTAGCTCGCTGCAGAGGCCGAGCGGCCTGATCTCCCAGCCACCACATGACAGACGAGCGGGTCCACGGTCAGTGGTCACCCCATCAGGCCGTCTCCAGCGGGGGGGCGGCCGGGCGGGGCGGGGCTCTGCCTACACTGCCCCCGTCTCACCTCACTACCATGAGCCCCCGGGGGCAGGACTGGACTCCCTCCTAGACACGCCCCTGCCAGGGTGAAGTGCTCTGCATTTGGGGCCCAATGGATGAATTTCACTGAAACCTGGCCAGCCAGGACTAAGGTCAGTTTTTAGCTTTCCCATCTCTAACAGGAGCCAGAGCCCCTGTCCTGAGCAAGGGGTCTCAGCTGGCTGTAGGAGCCAGGCACTGACCCTGAAGGCCTGGGGTGCAAGGCAGCTGGGTGTCCACGGATAGCAGGGACCCGAGGGGCCCACCCCTTTCCACAAGCCTCCGCAGGGACCCCAACAGGCACACCCACCCCTAGGACGGCAGGGACGTTGCAGTGGTCCTCAGCTGGCAGCTGGGAGCCAGGCAGACCCTCAAGCCTCTTGACATCCCAACTGAGCCCCACCAGGAGCCAAGAAGGCTGTGCACACCAGGCCCGGGGACACACACCAGCGTTCTTTCCAAAACATGAGCCACCCTGCCCAGCACCCCCCCAGCCCCACACTGCAGAGCAGGGCTCAGGCCCCTCGAAGGCCGTGCTCCACCCACAGGCAGAGACGCCAACCTGGACGTCCGTACCTTTAAACGCCTCCAGCAAATGCTTTCCCATGTACCAGCAGGCAGTTTCAAAGTTGGGAAACTGAGTCAGGCTGCCAAGCTTCAATCTCCTTTCCACTTCGTATGCTCTGGAAACCATAGCAAAGAACTGTCCAGAGCACTGAGCTCTGAGGGGGCAACACTGAGCGTGAGCCCACGCCAGAGTCACGAGTCACAGCTGTGACAAGGCCACACAGCGCGGCTATGCTGCCCCAGCCTCCACAACGGGCCCAGCGCAGCAGGGAGGAGTAGGGGACCACATGGGAACGAGCTCCATGGGCCAGGGCCACTGGGGCTACGCAGGGACCGGGCCGCTCAGGGGCCCCTGCGAGATCACAGCCCACCTCCCAAGGAAGAGGCTAACGGCACGCCCAGAACTCAGGGGAGACGCCACCACACCGGCCTGGCAGCAGGGGACCTGCCTGGTGGAACCCAGGCCGGCGTGGCCCTACCTCATCTGCATCTCCACGCTCAGGCTGTGGAGGAAATGTCCCGCGAAGGCCAGGCAGTCCACAGGCGTGAGTGTGGCGTAAATCCAGCCTGGGGAGACAGGGAGGTGGCCAGCCCTTCGTGGTACTCGAGGCTCCTTCCAGCCTGTCCTGGTGCCCCCGTCCAAGCTGGCTGGGCTGCTCAGTGCCCTTCCTGCCTGGCCCAGGCCCAGGCCCAGGCCCAGGCGCTTCCCACCCAGCCCCGGGCTGCCCAGCACCCCGACCTCCACACATGGGCGTGGGGGTGGGTGTGGGGGGCCCAAGCCAAGCTGCCATAGCCCTGGGAGAGCTGGGCTGGTCCCCGGATCCTCCTCAGAGGGGAACCTGGGCCACATGGGGATGTCACCGTGGCCGGGAGGAAGGGGGGAACCCAGGGGAGGAAGGGGTCTCTCAGGAAGGACTCCGAACACCTAAACGAATAGGAGTACGAGGCCTTATTCAATCCTGATTGAAAATGGGGGAAAAATATCTGCAATTAGGAAATGTGAGCAGCGGCTGCTTAGGTATTGACATCATGCTACGTGCAAGAGGCCTTCTGGAGAAGGGGGAAAGTCTCAGGGTGAAGCAGCATGAGGCCTGTAAGGCCCTTCCTCCTCCTCAGGGCTGAACTGTCCAGATGAGCAAAAACGTGGGGCTCAGGGCCGGCTCTCAGGGCCCCAGGACAAGGCGGACAGCCCCGCGGATGCTCACCTGAGGGGATGAAGAGCGTCTGGCCCTGCTTGAGGGTGCATTTATAACACCTGTCCACCTGGTCTGCAAAGAACATCTCGCTGTGGTTCGCGGCCGACTGCCAGCGCTCGTATAGGGAGATGTTGGCCGAAGCCGGCTTGATGAGATAGAAGATCTTCTCCCCCTGCCAACAAGAGGCCACTGGCAGAGCCCGCCACCGCCCAGGACGCTGGGGGGCGGGGGCACCACAGGCAGGGGACACTGCTGGGGGGCAGAGCCGGCCACTGCCCAGGGACCGTGGACACCCAGGGACACCGTCCCTTCCCTGAGATGTTGGGGCCACACGGGCCTTGCAGTTCAGGAGTCTGTTTGTGGAAAGGTTATGGGCACCAGAGCCCGGGCACCCCACACGCCACGCTTGCGCAACACTGGGAATGTCACGTGTGGCAGGGGCAGCCCCGCTGTGTCATGACTTGCTCCACTCCTGAGAGCCTCCTGCGTCTGGGCTGCAGATGGAAGGATGGCCCCCATGGCCAGGCTCCGGCCCGCCCCACACTCAGCGCTCCACAGGGCCAGGACCATGAGCCCCGCCGCCCCACGAGTCAGGCTCAGGCAGGTGCAGGGAGACCCAGGGCCGGTGCCTGAGCCCAAGACTTGGGGTCTCCTTCTCTGTTTGTCTTCACATCTCCCTTGTCCCCTGGCAGGGGCCCCCAGCCCTCCCCGCTCTTGTGTGGGCCCCCACACACGTTCCCTCACCCCCTCTTCCAGGAAGCCCTCCCAGCACCGCACTCCCCTCCTTAGGGGTCCGGAATGCAGAGCGCCAGGCCCCCTCCAGTGGGCTTCATGAGCCTCACCCTTCCCCAGAAAAAGGCAACACATCTGGCCCCGAGGCTCCCCCACCCCCACCTCCCGAGGACCGGAGAAACACATGCCCAGGCCCTGCCAGGTGCTGGCCCCATGGGGGCCGTGGGGACCACAGGCGGCCTTGCTCGTGGAGGCGGGTGTGCCCACCTTGAGCACGTGGTACCAGGCGGAGGCGCCCCCCGAGTCGATGTGGAAGTCGGTGTAGCTGTCCTTCACGCAGATCAGGCAGTACTTGGTCACCTTGGGCTTGGCCAGCAGCGCGTCGTCCGGCCAGCAGGTCTCCACCCAGGACAGCTTCTTGACGATGTCAGGCGGCTCCACGAAGCTGGACATCCTGGGGGAGACAGGAGGAGGGGCATCGGCGGCAGGAAGCTCCCCCGCACCTGCCGGGCCCCCAGGCGGGAAAGGTGGTGCACGTCCCTCAGCAGTTCTCCACCCGGGGCTATGTGACACGGCCATTTTACAGATGAGCAAACTAAGGTTTGCAGGGGCAGATCGCAGCTGGCCGCCGGGTGCAGCCACAGCAGGTGCCTAACATGGGGTCTCTCCATCCAAAGTTGGGGGAGGGGGAAGGCCAGAGAACGCCCCTCCCTGGGGACCCAGAAGGGGATGGCCCAGGTGGGCCCATGAGGGTGCTGCTGGATATCGCTTGGTGAGAAGCCACTGGTCTCCAGAGCAGACCACAGGGGACCTGGAGCCTGGAGCCACATCGGTCATTGTCAGACCAGCTAACTCGTCTTCAAGGAAGACACAGACAGGCAAAGGTGGTCTTTTCAATTAAATGTCACTGGCCTGATTAAAATGCCAGTATGGGGGCGTCTGGGTGGCTCAGTCGGTTGAGCGTCTGACTTCAGCTCAGGTCATGATCTCGCAGCTCCTGAGTTCGAGCCCCGCGTTGGGCTCTGTGCTGACAGCTCGGAGCCTGGACCTGCTTTGGATTCCATCTCCCTCTCTCTCTGCCCCTAAACAATTCCCATCTGTCTCCGTCTCTCTCAAAAATAGATAAACGTTAAAAAAATTAATAAAAAATGCCAGTATGGCATCAAAGTCGTCCAGGTCAGCAGCCCTGCGCGGTGACACATCCACATGCTGGCCGCCTCAGGCAGGACAGAACCGCACAGCTCCACACGGAAGGCCGTGCCGGCCCAGACAAGCGTGTCACAAACCACAAGCTAGGCCCCACCACTCCGCCCTCCAGACCTCAGCAGCAGACCTTCTTGGCATCTCCGGCTTGTCCCAAGCTGGTGTTCCTCTCCGTCCCCCGAGCCCCTCTCCCCACCGTCCATGCCCACGGTGGCTCCCAGGCCACCTGCTGCCACAGGAGAAAAGACCTCTGCACACCACACATGAGCACTTCCCCCCACGGCCACCAACGCCCTCACTTCTTCGCTGGACGGCTCCTCGAGCACACAGCCAGCCTGCCCTCCTGCCACCGAGGCTCACTGCTCCCTGCAGCCTCCCAGAGTGGACAGGCTGGGTCCCATGGCCCCCAAGCACCTGAGGCCACCGTGGGTGACAGTGCAGAGGTGACGACGTACGTCCACATAATTGACACGTCACTGTCACAGCAGGCGCCTCTGGGATCAGGGGACACGTGAGTCACGGCAGGATCCCCACAGACCCTAACATGGCCACAGACAGACTGTGATCAGGCCTGGCCCCTGCAGCCCCAGCTGGCGGCTTCAGGGACAGACAGCACTGATGACGTGGAAGCCACCCTCTCCCCCTCGACAGCCCTGGCACCAAGCCCACAAATGGCCTGGTGTGACGTGTTCACGACCCCTGTGATCCTTGGACCGGGCCTGAGGACACCGGCGGCACCACACATTTTCTGCCAGCAGAGGGCTGGCCCCGAGAGGCCCAAGGGGAAACCACACACCAAAGCACCAGCTCCCCAGCTCTGCCACGCGGGCAGCTCTCTCTGAAGCCCCCAGGTTGGCCAGCAGACCAAGCTCCTGAGTATGCTCTCATCAGAACCCAGCCTGGGGGACAATCCTGCTTGTGAAGCCGCAGGAGATAGCTTTCTCTCGATACGCTAATCTATCCTATTTCCCTTTACGCCTATGCTGTCGGGAGGCTCAAACAGACCCCAGCATCCAGTTACGATATCCTGTCTGGGCTCCTGGCACAGCTCTATATTCTCCTTCTCAGTGTGGTTTTCAGTAACTCTTTTTTCCTACCTGCCCTTCTGCACACAAGCTATCTGGCTATCATCACATGTGCTTTTCAGAAGTTGGCAAGGGTGGAAAGGGGCTGAAAGTAAAATCATGCTTAAACTAAACCAGCCACAACTCAGGTCTTGTGCCGAGCAAAGGGCCAGCTGGAGAACAGCGAGGATCTGACAGAGGGGCAGGAAAGGCAGGGCCAGGGCAGGCGTTGGCCACGCCACAGCAGAGCAGTGGTCCTGGGAGAGCAGGGCCATGGCACAAGGGGCAGTGCTGGTGGCCGACCAGCCCCTGACCACACAGAAGCTGGGGCTAGGCAGGTCCAGACGGCCATGGTGCAGGACCCTCCACCCTGAGAACAGCGGCAAGCAGGGCAGGCCTGGCTCAAGGAGCTCAGGCTGGGGCCGCAGGGAGAGCAGGTGCAGAGCGCGACCCTGCTGTGCCCACGGTGTGCACTGGAGAGTGCACCTGTGAACGTGTGCAGGCACGTGTGGGAGCGTGTGGGGGTGTGGTGTGCGCACAAGCGTCGGTGTCGCAAGGAACGTCATGCACGAGCATGAGCACGTGCGTTCTGGAAGAATCTATGCTGCGGTGTGGCCTGCGGCTCCTTCTGGGGAACGGGGTGGGGGCAGGCCAGAGGAGTCCGCGTCTTGCTGCTTATGATCCGTTTGAATTTGTCACAGTGCATCACTCCCGGTCTTGAGAAGAGAAACAGAGCAGCACCGCATGCCGCTTTCGCTCGTGTGTGCGGGCTCCCCCAGCAGCCGCAGTCCTGGCCCCGGGGGCCCTCACCTGGTGTCGGAGAACTCCAGGCTGGTGAGGTTGAGGACCCGCTTGCGGTTGGTGCTGTAGTAATAGTCCACAAACTCTTTCAGCTTCATCTTGCAGTCCTTCTGCTTGGCGACATCCGTCACGTCCACGCTCCGCTCTGGGCCTGCGGGCAGGGCAGGGGGTGGGGCCGTGAGGGGCCAGGGCGTGCAGCCCGCCCCCCGACGCACCGGGCTGCCCTGTGGGCTCCCTGCTGAGAGGCGGGGGTGCAGGGAGGCGGCTGAGACGCAAGCCTCCGCGGGAGGGGGCCCGGCAGATGGGGACCCCACATAAACAACATGGGACACACATTTTAAAAATCAAAAAATCAAAAACTCCTACACTTCTAGGGTGCCAACTTATTATCCTGAAAACTGGTAAGTTAAAGGAAAAACATTTTCCCCACGTTTTCTGTAGTTGATGAGGAAAACTTCAGGGTGAAAATCACCGATGACCGTTCCTTAAGGAACTGGCGAGGGTGAGCTCCTCACACTGACTCCTAATTAGTAGTGGGAGAAAGGCGCACAGGACTAACGGCCTCGTCCCTCCCAACAGTCCCCAGGGGCCGCTCAGACCCAGGCTGCGGGCTGACAGGCCCTTCCGTGCAGGTGGCCAGGCACCACAGGCTGACGGGCGAGAGCGCCCCAGCCCCGAAGCGGCTGCCGTCCCCCTGAATGTGAATCTGAGTGTCTGTCCAGGTGGTGCAGGAACCACTGGGGACAGAGGAGTGAGTTACATGACACCACGGGTACACTGTTGGCCAGATCCCCCACGTGGGACGTTCTCTAGGACCAGCAACCCCAACCCTCCCACAGCCTCGGGAATGGGGAGATGCTGAGAGGCATAAAAACCACACGCAGTGTGTAGGTCTGGTCTGGGCTCTGATTCAAACAGCGAACTGGAAGGGGCGTCTGGGGCGCCTGGGGTGACTGAGGCGGGGCTCTGATGCTACTGAGCAGCCCGCGGCTGCAATGACGTCAAATCCTCTGTCAGAGCCCGTGCCGGGGTTTCCGTGGGAGAAGTGATGTACGTGCCACAGCTTTGCTTTAAATTTGGGGGTGCAGACACAGAAAGCCGGCCAAGATCTTGTGGTTTTGTGGCCAGTACTGGGCACAGGGGAGTTTACTTCCCTTGGGGTGTGTGCGTGTGTGTGTGTGTGTGTGTGTGTGTGTGTGTGTGTGTGTGTGAAAACGTCCATAATAAAACAAGTAAGGAGAAGGGAGAGATTTTACAACACAAGCCTCTAAGACATGCCTCCCCGTCGGCTAAGCTGCTTCCAGCTCCCGCAGACAGCGCTATGGTCGAGCGGGCAGTGCCTGGGGCCGGCCCTCTGTGCTCTCTGTGGCCAGCTGAGCCAGGGCCTGGGTGCCAGCTGTGGCAAGATGACACTAGCTACCGGTGACGCCCAGCACCTGGCAGGCGTGAACTAGATCTCAGCTGTTATTCTAGGGGCTGCGGCCGGGCACAGATGGCCCCGATGGGGCTCCCTTCTCTCCGCCTGCCACAGGGGACCTGGGCACCAGCCTTCTCGGGCTCTGTCCTCCTCTTGCACGGGCCACACCCCCGAGCCCCAGCCACCTTGGGGCCTCAGAGTCTGGGCCGTGTGGCCCCGCCTCACAGACGACGCCCAAGCATACAGTTTCTTCCCTCCACCCGGAGGTGTCCCGACTGAGGGTGCCCACAGTGCTGGTTGCTGCCAAGGGGACAGGAGACAGGCTGCACAGGGCAGCACCAACGGGAGCCGGAGGGATCCAGAGAGGAAGGGTCCTGGGGCAGACCAAGGGTGCCCCAGGCTGGCCCAGGAGAGGCTGAGGGGGGCACAGCACAAACCTCGAAGGCAGGGGCCCTCCATTACCACCATTAGCACCCAACAGCATGGGTTTTGCAGCTGGCAGAATGAAAGGGTCCCAAGACAGGCCCCTTCGCAGTCAGAATACTGGCTGGGGGGACGGCCAGGGTCACGTGTCATTTCAGTGGGACATGGGGTCTGATTCTAAGAGTGCCCTGAACGTACACGGAGACCCCGGATCACAGCGCTCACACAGCACGGGGACCAGCCAGGGCCTAAGGCGAGCAGGCTCCAGGGTGGCCACTCACCCACGTAGTTCTCGACGTCACTGACATAGAAGGTGGGGGCTGGGACTGCCAGGCCCAGCCCGTCTTTCTTGGGTACGAGGATGGGCTCAGTGAAGCCGTGCTCCTCCATGTAGCCCAGCGTGAGCTGGCTGCCGGGCACACGGACCACCACGTCTTCCGCGCTGCGGGAAAAGTGGGGGTCGGAGGTCACGCCGGCCAGGATCCCGGCCCCGCAGCACCGGGACAGGCCTGGATAGGGCCTCAGAGCCAGAGACGTGCAACCCGGGCTCCCACGCCCTGGGAGGAGGGCTCGTCCCCGGCACCATGCCCAGGGGTCATGGGGGAGCGACGTGGCTTGGACCCACATCCATCACAGACGTTGGACCTCAAGGTCCAGGAGGCCCAGGAAGGGGAAACACAGAGACCAACCCTCCTACCACGGCAGAGAAAGGCAGAGCATGGGCAGGATCCCTCCCCTGCCCCTTGCCCTACCTGCCCACCCTCCATAACATTCCTCCCATGTGCGCAGAGATTAGATCCTGCACGGCGCTGGGGCCGGGCCTGAGGACACAGCAGATAGAGACAAACCCCTCCCAGGGAGAATCCACTCCCTGCACAAGCCAAGCACAGGGTCCAAGGGCAACCTGGGGTGCTGCGGTCAGTGGCTCCCCTGCCCAGCTTGCCCAGCTGCGTGCTGGGCACTGCCCGGGGCACCAGGGACCTTTGAGGCCCAGCTGGAGAGCCCCCGTGGTGACGCTGGAGATGGGCTTCCATCAGACAAGCATGCAAGGCCGTAAGCCCACCGCTGAGAGCAGAGCTCAGGGGGAAGACAGCAGGGGTCAGCGTCAGAGCAGCCCGTCCAGGCCTGGAGGGGCAGGATTGAGAGGCACATGTCCCGGGCAGAAGGGGGGTGCCAGCCAAGCCCTGGAGTGGGGAGAATGTGGCCAGGGGTGGGGAGGGGAAGGAACCCAGCAGCCGGGGGTAGGGGGTGAGCGGGCTGAGTGCGCAGCAGCTGAGGTGGCCTATCTGCCCAGCAGTGGGCCTCTGCCTCGTGCCGAGAGCACTGGGGAGCCACTGGACAGCTTGAGTAGGGCAACAACAGCTGGAGGTCAATCCAATGGCTGTGTGGACGGACGGGGAGCTGCCGCGGGAGCAGGCTGGACACCGCGACCAGGGAGGAGGCTCAGCTTACGGACCAGGAGGCAGTGGTGGGCGAAAGGGTGGAGGAACAGGGGAGGTGACGGCAGACAGCTGAGGGACTGAGGGCTGGAGGAGAGCAGGCGTGTGCAGGGGACAGATCCGCAGCTGACTTGGGACAGACTTGGACTGAGGACGGGTCAGGAGCTCAGAGGCTGCAGAGGGAGGCTGAGGCCGCCGGCCAAGAGACAGCCTGGGCGGGGCGGGGGGTCAGGGGGAGGTGTAAACTCCGAGGGCCGGGGGCGAGAGCAGAGTCCCCACAACTCCCAGGGAGAGTGCTCAGCAGGAGAGGAGGCCAGGCAGGTGGAGGACAGCCAGGGGAGCACGGGGTGTGGCTCCAAGGAAGTAGTGCTTGAGAGGAGGGAGCTGCAAGGCCCTGTCCCACCAAGAGGGAGCACGTGGGGCAGTGAGGGCGAGGACGGAGGAGGGACCTTCGGGTGGGACCAGTGCTGACAGAGCATTAGGTTCAGGCCAGGAGTGGGTGGCGGCTGTGTGAGCGGCAGCACTGGGACAGTGCAGGGTCATCTGTGGAAGCCCCGGGTAGCCAGAGGGAGACGGTATCCGGACAAACCGGGATCCCGTGCCCTCATGTCACACAGCCCCACGTACCAGGTCTGGGACTGCAAAACCCATGAGGACCCAGCAAAGGCAAAGACACTATGGTTCTGCGGGGACACCTCTGGGCCCAGGGCAGACAGGCCGCCTCACAGAATGACGGAAGACACATCCGCCAGAGCACGGGTCCGGGGACTGAGCACAACGGACGGCTGGGAAACATACTAACCACATTCACAGGGATAATGGGAGGACGCAGCAGAGGGCAGGGAGGGAGGACAACAGAGCAAGCAACATTGACCATGACCTAGCGGAAATTCTAGACGTGAAAAACGTCACTTTTGAGAAAATTTAAAAACTCAACAGATGCACTCAATAGTAGCTGCACCCGCCCCACCAAATGGTCAATTTGATGGAATACTTGAAAAATAATACAGAGAAAGGGGGTGAAATGCTACTTAAAAAGAAAACAGGCCATTTTTCAGAACTGAGATAAGATACAATTCCTCAAATTAAAAGATCTTACTGATTCCTGAGTAGAACCGATAAAAACAAAGCACATCCAGATGCACTGTAGCCTACCTGCGGAACATCAGAGACAACGAGGCAATCTGAAAAGTCTTCAGATAAAAAAACAGATTATTTGCCAAAACCAAACAGTAAACAGATGAACAAACACCAGCCACTAGACTGACAACAGACATCTCGTGAACAACAAGAGATGCCAAATGACAACAGGATAACAGCGTCTTCAAAGAATTCAAGGAAAATAAATTTACTCTAAAATTTTAGGCCCATTTTAGAAAATTAGAATCATTTAAGAACACAGATGAAATGAAAACATTTTCAAAAACAGAATATTTCTATAGGCCTTTACTAAACCACTAAAGGATATAATTCAATAAGAGAGAAATCAAATCTAGAAGAAAGAAATGAGACTCAAGAAATGAGAGAAAATTGAGCTACGGATTTCACACAATCCCTGTCAGAACACCTGTTGACGTCTTTGCAGAAATGGACAAGCTGAACTTGGAAAGCTGACGGGAAGTGCAAAGCCCCAGATGACCAAAACAGTCTTTACAAAGAACAAAGTTGAGGACACTGACCAACTTCAAAATTCACTCTAAAGCTACAGTAATCAAGACCGTGTGGTGCCGGCATGAGAAGAGAGAAGAGACATATGGATCGGTGCGGCAGAACCGAGTGTCCAGAAATAAACCCAAACATCTGTGGCCAACTGCTTTTTCATCAGGAACGCAAGGACAACTCAATGGAGAAAAAAAAAACCAGTCATTTCAATAAATGGTGCATGAGAGAACTGGACGTCCACATGCAAAAGAATTAAGCGGGACCCTATCTCACATCATAGACAAAAACTAACTCAAACTGAGTTGAAGACCTACACATAAAGGCTGGAACTGTAAAACTTCCAGAAGAAAACACACACACAGACATAAATCTTCACAACCTTTAACCTGGCAACGGTTTCCTAGAAGCCAAAACCACGAGCAGCAAGAACGAGAAGAATGAATTCGATTCCATCAAAATTATAAACATTTGCGTTTCAAAGGACACCATGAAGAAAGTGGAAAGGCAATCACGGGACAGGAGAAAGTATCTGATTGGTGGCAAGTACCTAGAATACGTAGGCAATAAAAAGACAACCCAACTAATGAGAAGGGGTTAAAGTAAGTGGAACTGGACTAATGGCTTCAACTCCAACATGTAAAGAGCTTGGAAATGGTCATTCCTGTCCTCACAACAAGAAAAAAGCTGAACGGACTGATTACCAAGGAATTTTCTTAGATTCACTGAACATTAGGGTTACAGGGCAAACAGTCGCCCCCAGAATCTGGGGAGACAGGCAAACACAGAGAATCACCACCGAGAGGACCTTACCTGAGGCAGAAGCGGCTGGAGGCGGTAACTGAGAGGATAATTAAAGTGATTTCTGACAAAGTGCAGAGGCTGAGTGTGAAGTAGCTTCAGAGTTAAGAACTCATGGGGCCCAGCCTCAGAGGAGACCCACCTTGATGGGTTCTACCCACAGGTTCTCCTGGTGAAGATCTGTCCTATTTCAGACACGGTTGGGGGAGAGCAATTATGTGTAAATATACTCCGAGTGTTCTCCATAACAAAAGTCGACCTTCCAGGAGCACTTACTTAACCAGACCCTCCTCTGATGGGGGAAGGGCAAGTGCCCACCCACCCCCCTGACGCCACTAGCTTCCTGTCTTAGGGAAGAAGAGCAAAAGCGAAGGCCAAGAAATGCTTCCAAAGGTAACAGCCCAGAGCCTCGGGCCCACTGAAACACTGAGGTGTGTTATTCAATTACAGGACACTTCCCCTACCCCAATCCTACTACCATACAACAGTATAACGGTAGCTGAGTATAGCCAAGACAGCTGCAGGACAGATTCTATTTAAGAAGGAGTTGTTAGGGACACCCAGCAAGAACAGGAGAGGAGGAAAACACAAGGAAACTAGGAGAAAGTCATGTGTCTGGCCCTACGGCTACAGCAACACAACCCAGTCCCTGGTCTGGTCAACACAAAACCTCACTCTAAATGCATAATCACCTCAGTTCCTTTGACTCAATACATCATGTCCAGCTTTCACCAAAAAATCACAAGATGCGCTAAACGGCAAAAAACCATAGTCTTAAGACACAAAGCAAATCACCTCACCCCTGTCAGAACAGCTGAAATCAAAAAGACAAGAAACAACAGGTGTCGCCGAGGATGTGGAGAAAAAGGAACCTTCTTGCACTGCTGGTGGGAATGCAAACTGTGCAACCTCTCTGGAGAACAGCGTGGAGGGTCCTTAAGAAATTAAAAATAGAATTACGTGGTGGCCCGGTAATTCCACTACTGGGTATTTACCTAAAGAAAATGAAAACACTAATTCAAAAAGACACGTCCTGAAGTTTATAGCAGCACTATCAGAAGCAGCCAAGATACAGAAAGCCCAAATGTCCATCGACTGATAAATGGACAAAGAAGATGTGGTGTGTATACACACACACATATACACACACACATACACACACGATGGAATATTACTCAGACATAAAACAAATGAAATCTTGCCATTTGCAACAACATGGATGGAGCTAGAGAGTATAATGTTAAGTATAATAAAAATAAGGCAGAGAAAGACAAATACCATATGATTTCACTCATATGTGGAATTTAAGAAACAAAAGAAATGAACAAAGAATGGGGAGTCCGGGTGGCTCAGTCAGTTAAGCGTCTGACTTCGGCTCAGGTCACGATCTCACAGTTCACGTGTTCGAGCCCCATGTCAGGCTCTGTGCTGAGAGGTCAGAGCCTGGAGCCTGCTTCATGGATTCTCTGTCTTCCTCTCTCTCTGCCCCTCCCCGACTTGTTCTCTCTCTCTCAAAATAAATAAAACATTAAAATAATTAAAAAAAAAAAAACAAGAAGAAGAAAGAGACAAACAAAAAAGGCAGACTCTTAAATACAGAGGACAAACTGATGGTTACCAGAGGGAAGTCTGTCTGTGGGCGAATGGGTGAAACAGGTGAAGGGGGTTGAGGGTACGTTTATCATGATGAGCACTGAGTGATACTCGTGTGCAGAAGAGGATACTTCTGCTCATGTACAGAAGTATTGAGTCATTATATTGTACACCTGAAACTAATATAACAATGTATGTTAATTATACCTCAATTAAAAAATAAAACGTTTTAAAAGTATCAGGACACAGCTCAGCTATAGCACAGAATTTGGAAGTATAAGACAGGAAATTTTTTAAAATTATGATTAATATGTTAGGAGTGCTAATGGAAAAAGTGGAAAACACGCAAGGACAGAAGACAATGTAAGCAGAGAAGTGAACACTCTAAGAACCAAAAGGAAATGATAGAAATAATTAAAAATGGTAACAGAAATGCGGAATGCCTTCGATGGGCTCATTGGTAGACTGCGTGTGGCTAAGAAAAGACTCAGTAAGCTTGAAGTTAGTAACATCTGCTCAGCCTGAAGCATAAAGAGAAAAAAGAATGGAACAAGCAGGGAACAGAATATCCAAGAATATACAGAACAACGGCAGGAAGAGCAAAGTGGGCATGACGAGAACACCAAAAATAAAAGAGAGAGGAAGGAGCAGTGTTTGAAGCAGGAGAAATGTTGGAAGTCATAACGGCTGAGAATTTTCTACAATTAATGGCAGATGTGAAACCACAGATCCAGAAAACTGAGACCACACCAAGTAGGATTAAATACTTGAAAACCATACCTAGACACGTCCCAATCAAACTGCAAAACAGGAGAGGCGATATCCTGACAGAGGCCACATGAGAAAGGTCTACCTCTGGCATGACAGCGTGAAGAGCCCTGAGGACCCAAAACCCAATGAAACGGGTGAAAATTACTGTGAAAAACAACTATTCGAAACCTCTGGAAATGGTTCTAAGAGCAAATAGCAAATGGAGAAACATCTAGCCTAGAAAATCTATGAAAACCTGGCAGGAAAGGCGTGTGCCTGTGATACATGGGCCGAGACCATTCTTCCCTCTACCCCACTGGATCGGCGAGGAGACCTCCCTCAGGAAGGCCGTGGCCAAGGACACAGGAAAGCTGAGTGGGAGCTCTCCCCAGCTTCCAAGCAGAGGGCTTCGTCCAGGAGGAACAGGACGGCAGCCTTTCTCATCCTGCACCAGCTGTCTGTTCCTGATTCTCAGTCTCACGCAAGGGCAGACAAGACATGGGGTGGGGGGGGGGCTCCCTTCTTCCCCTTGGCCCACACTTGCGGAACTGAGGCTGTACCCCAAGCGTAGCACCCTGAAAAGGATGGGGCCCTGATCATCTTTGTCTGGTCTCTTCTACTTAACATTCTACTAGAAGTCCTAGCCAGAGCAATCAAGCAAGAAAAAAAGGGTAACACAGATTGGAAGTGAAGAAAGGAAACTATTCACAGATGACATGATCTCACATGTAGAAAGTTGTAAGGAATCTACTAAAAAGCTATTAGAACTAATAAACCAGCTCAGCAAGGTTGCAGGATACAAGATGAATACACTTGAACTCTATTTCAGTACCGTAGCAATGAACCCTCTGGAAATAAAATTAAGAAAACAATTTCATTTAAAAGAGCATCAAAAAGAATAAATTACTTAGGAATAAACTTAACAAAGGAAGTACAAAACTCTGAAAACTACAGAACACTATTGAAGGAAACATAAAAGATCTTAATAAATGGAAGAAAACCCATGTTCATAGGTCAGAAGACTGCATTTTTCAGATGGCAATACTTCGATTCTACTCATGTACAGATTCAACACAATCCGTATCAGCTGACTTCTCTGTAGGCCTGACAAGCTGATTCTAAAATTCAGATGGAATTCCAGCAGACCAAGAACGGCCAGAAGGATTTTTAAAAAGAAAAACAAAGCGGGAGGGGCACCTGGGTGGCTCAGTCAGTTAAGCGTCCTCCTTCAAATGAGGTCATGATCCCACGGTTCGTGAGTTCGAGCCCCATGTCAGGCTCTGTGCTAAGAGCTCAGAGCCTGGCGCCTGCCTGGGATTCTGTGGCTCCCTCTCTCTCTGCTCCTCCCCCGGCTCGTGCTCTCTCTACTCTCTCAAAAATAATAAACATTAAAAAATATTCGAAAGAAAGAAAGAAAGAAAGAAAGAAAGAAAGAAAAGAAAAGCAAAGCTGGAGGACACATACTTCTTCATTTCAAAACGTACTGCAAAGCACAGTAGTCCAGGCAATGTGAGACCAGCCTAAGGATAAACAGATTGGTGGAACAGAACTGAGTGTCCAGAAATAAATGCATATACTTACAGCTAAGAGCCAAGACCATTTAATAGAAAAAGAGTGGTCTTTTTACAAATAGTGCAGGGACAAATGGAGAGATGCGTGCCAAAAAAAAAAAAAAAAAAAAAAAAAAAAGTTAGATCGTTATCTCACCCTATATGAAGAAATTAACTCAAAATGTATCAAAAACAAAACCGTAAGACCTAAAACCTGCAAAACTCTTAGAAGTTTTGTAGAAGGTAATTTTCATGACCTGGGGTTTGGATCTGGCAAATGATCCTCAGCTATGACAACAAAAGCACAAGTAACAAAATAAAAAACGGATAAACTGGACTCCGTCAAAATTACAAATGTTGGTGCTTCAAAGGACATGATCAAGAAAGTGAAATGTCTACAAAACAGGATAAAGTATTCACCAATCATTTGTCTGTTAAGAGACTTGTATCTAAAATATATAAAAAAACTCTCTTAATAATTAAAAGACACAAAAATTAAAAATAGGCAAAGGGTCCGAACTGACATTCCTCCAAGGAAGACATACACATGACTACCACGCACATGAAAAGATGCTCAACATGACTTTTCATGAGGGAAATGCAGGTCAGACCAGAGAGAGAGAAAGCCTCACACCTGTAAGGATGGTTCGAATCAAAATGCCAGATAATCGCAAGGGCCGGCAAGGGTGATCGGAAACTGGGACCCTCACGCTCTGCTGGTGGGAACGACAGTGGCGTAACCACTGTGGAGACCAGTCCAGCAGTTTCTCAGACAACTGAACATGGAGCCACTGCTCCTAAAAACATGGAAACACATGTCCCCCAGAATCCTGTATAAGAACGTTTATAGTAGAACTATCTGCAGTAGCCAAACATCAGAACCCCAGCGTGTCAGCTGACGCATGGATAAACAACGTGTGGTCTGTCCACACAACAGAATGTTAAACAGACACCGGGGCGGGGGGGGGGGGGGGATGCAAACATTCTAAACCGGCTGCTGGTGGCGCACACGTCTGTGAACGCACCGAAGACCACGGAGTTGTACCCTTGAAATGGGCCAACTGTACCCTTGAAATGGGCCAACTGTAAGGTCTGTGAGTTGTATCTCAGTAAAAGTCGCAGAAAGGAAAGAAGCCAGAGGAGGGAGGTACCTTGTCTGTGGAGGCTCACGGGTAAGAGTCATACTGGGTCCCTCATGAGACACTATGCATGCAAGAAGACAGTGGGGCAAAACATTTGAAGTGCTAAAAGGAAAAGGACCCACCACGTAGGATCCTGGGTCCGGTGAGTTACTCTTTAAAAGTAGAGAAGAAACCTTGTCAGACAAACAAAAGTCTTCCGGCTGTGAGGGGCCGAGGGGGCGCACAGCAGCTTGAAGAGCACATGTCCACGAGTCAGGGTCCCCGCAGCCCTGCCCCTGCCCTCTGCCCTCGACCTGCACGCGGCGCATGGGTGCGGGCAGGCGGTCTCGGAGAAGGGGACCTGGGGACAGCCTGTCAGGCCCAGGGGCAGAGGGCCACGTCTGGAGGGTGGTCTTGGGCAGGACCCCAGCCCCCACTCCTCGCCCTCCAGAACCTGAGTTCAGCAGCCTCCCCCTCAGGAAGGTTCCGTGGGAAGGGCCACACCAGGTGGTGGGGGGATGCATGAGCCCAGAGGAAGAGGGTCCCCAACACCTGACCTGCAGGTGCTGAGAAGGAAGAGGTCAGCCCCAGAGCTGGGAGCGCCTAGGGCTTAGGGGGGCTGTGCCGCTCCCCTGGAGGGAGGCTGTGCCCCTGAGCCCCCCAGGACGAGGCCGCCACCGCCCACCTGGGGAAGGTCCGACTCCGCAGCTCCTTGATGAAGAGCTGGCTGCCGTTCTGGACGGGCTTCACGTCGGGCGTCTGCCCTGGGCCGTGTTTGTGCCAGGCCCGCTTCTTCTTCACTGTGGGGAGACAGGGGCAGATGGCACCCAGCGTGGGCCCTCCCCTCCCCGCACCACAGGGGCCGGGCCCAGAGGGCAGCTGAGGAGCTGTGAACGCTGAGACTCCAGCCTCCGCAGAGGCGGCGCCCCCGATGTCCCCTGGGGGCCACCCACCCACCCCCGGCCCCTGTGACCTCCCACCCTCCTTGGGTCACGGCCCCACCCCTGCCCTGCCCCTCCCACTCCTCTGGCTCAGCCGACCCCAAAGCTGGGGGAGCCCGGGACCCTTCCCATTAGCACCCAGTCCGCTGAGAGCGCGTCAGAGGCACCTACCGGGAGGTCCCACCAAGGGGACGCCTCCCCTCAAGCTTGTCACCTCGCTGCTGCAACGTTTGCTGCCCTAAGCCCACCACTGGGGCAGGAGCAGGCTGGCACTGCCCTCTGTAGCTCCCGCCCTTCCCACACCCCGCCTGTGCCACCTTGTACTCCTGTGTGTCCCCCTCTGACACCGCCACCCTGACCGCTGACTCCAACTCTCCTTTCCTCGTGTGTGCTCCCAGGGCACCGGGCACCCCACCCTGGACTCTTTACACACCACTGTGTGCACACACCCCTAGTGGACTGCGACACATTCGCACACATGTGCACATGCACACACATGTACCTATACACGTACAAGCACACACCCGTGTGCATGCCCACGCAGCGGACACAGAACATTCGTGGGCACACACATGTATACACACATTCACACACCTACTGGACTGACACATTTGCACACACATACATGTGCACAGGTATGCACACACAATCACCCGTCTGCACACCCATGAGGTGCACACAGAACACACATGTGCACACCTTACTTACTGGACTGTGGCGCATTTGTAGATGCATGCATATGCACGCATATGTGCCTTTGGACCCACAAGCGCACACCCATGTGCACACCCATGCAGTGCACACAGTACATGCACGTGCACACACATATACACACACACCTACTGGACTGTGGTGCACTTGCATACATGTGCATGTGCACACATGTGTGTGCACGCACAAGGACATACCCGTGTGCACGCCCACGCAGTGCACCCAGAACATGCACGTGCACACACACATACACACGCACTCACACTCCTACTGGACTGCAAGCCCCTGGAGGGGAGGGAAGCAATTTCCTTGTGGCCCCAGCCTCTGCCCAGGGCAGCCCCTGGTGACTCGGTGAGTGAGGACAGCACTGGCACAGAGACCTGTCCCTGGCAGCTGCTGGGTGGGCTGTGAAACAAGCTGGCCCCATGACAGACATGGGACTAGATCTGAGGGACTGCCAGAGACTAGATCTGAGGGATCCCATCCCTCACAGACAAGGACAGGGAGGGGGCTGCCACCAACGACCCTTGAGCCTGCCTCCAACAATGGTGTGACATTTCCATCGCCCTTGGTTTGCCATGGCCAGGGTGTGAGTGGACGTTATGGAAACCCGGCAAGATCCTGTAGAGGGGGGACTCGAACTGGGGGTTCTGGTGGTGGCCGGAGGCACAGACGAGAGACGGAAGGGCTCCACCACTTGTCCAAGTCTTTCTTGCCCCACCAGCCTGTGACTGTGTGACCTTGGGCAAGTTACTGGGCATCTCTGTGCTGCATCTTTAATAGCGAGGTCCGGGACCCTCATGAGCTACAGGAGGGGAAGGGCGTACGGTGCCCCGTCCACCCCAGGAGCTCTGTGGGGCCCACTGCGCGCACGGCCCCTCCTCTTGGCTAGGCTGCTTGGGCTGAAACCATTTGTTCACAGGGTTCAGTCCCACTCTGGACCCTTGGGCTCTCCCCACACGCCCACGGTGCCTGGCACAGCCCAGCACTAGTGGGCATGCAGGATGTCTGTGAATGGCTGGTCTCCTGGGCACTGCACTGGCACCTCAGTGCCCACCCTCCTCCCTCTGGTTACCCTGGCTCAGGCCTTTTCTTCTCAGCGGTTTGCCAAGTGCGTGCTGAGCAGCCCAGCTCCGCACGGGGGTCACCAAAGCCACAGCTGGCCTGAGAGCCATCCCTGCTTCCTGAAGAGCCAGCAGGCTCAGAGGGAGAGGGTGCTCACAGCCAAGGCAGGGCCTCGGGGGGGGGGGGGGGGACACAACTCTGACGATGGCCCAGGTCACCCTGACTCTGAAACCAGCCTCAATATCATCATCCTTTCTTCTGGGCCCACAGCTGCATCAGGACGTGACCCTGGGCCGCCTCTCATGCCCCGGGCTTTAGACTTTACCAGGTGCCCCCCACTGAAGGGCCTGGGGAGCGAGGGCAGCCGTGCATGGCCACAGAGGAGCGTTGTGGGCCTCGGCGATGGGGCTGCCTCTGGTGGGAGGCGAGCCTGGCTCCCGGCCACTTACCAGGGGTCCCACGCGTCCAGGGATCAAGACAGGGGTGGAAGGGGCAGCCCAGCCCGCACACTGGCCGCCATGGGTGACACCGCAGGTGGGGGAGACCAGCGGGGAGACAGATACCCCAGTGCCGTCTGGGGGGCAGCTGAGGTCGGGAGAAGGGAGGCATTGCGGAGGGGACCCCATGGGGGCCCTTCGAGGTCCCCCCAGGCTGGCACCTGCATCTGCCCCACTCCTCACATCCCAAGGTCTCCCCGGCAGGTGTGCGGAGGCAAGAGGACACAGATGCCTGGCACCAGGGCCCTGGCCCCAGGGGCCGTGTGGGGAAACCAAGCCTCGGAGGGCAGGTGCGGCCGGGTGATGGGGGTGCAGATGTAAAGGGCAGTGGGGGAAGCAGCGGCGCCCCCACACTCCTGCCAGGACCCAGGCCTGGGAAGCAGGGGCTGACCGGGCTGGTGGCCCTCCTGGGCCCTAACTCCGGACTGGGTATCGAGGAGCACCTGGAGGAGGGACTGGCCCACGTGACGCTGTGGCCAGAGCGTGTGGCCAGGATAACAGCCAGACGCGGAACCGCAAGGGAGGCAGGGTGAGCTCTGGGCGCTCCTCGCGCAGCCCTGGCCGGCGGGCTCCCTCCCTCCCCGGGGCCCAGAGGCCACCCCCCCCTCCTCTTGTCATGGCACCCCACCCCCTCTGACAAGGCACCCCGGGACATCCGCCCAGCGGGAGGCTGGAGCGTGGGGGTGCCAGGTGCCCACCCCCCAGGGCAGCACAGCCTCACGGGCACGGGGAGGAGGGGTGTAAGCATCAGGGGAGCAGCCAGAGCTGGACACGCAGTGCAGGGTCAGAGCTGCTGTAAGGGCCGAGCCCCCCACTCCTGGGAGCCCTCCTGACTCCTTGCCAGGCCCCAAATCTGTGTGAATCGGGTATACCTGTGAGTCCCCACCCTCATCTCAGTGCCCACCCCAAACCCACCCAGGGCGCCCCCGGCGCAGCCCACGGGCTTGGGGGGCCCCCTGGGGACATGGGGACAGCGGGAGCCCTCACCATGGAGGGTCTGACTGGAGCAGATGCAGCAAACTGACCAGCGTGTCACGGACAGTGACGAGCTCCGGTCTGGCACGGTCTGGGCACAGACACACCTCAAGTGCAGACTGACGGTGACCAGTGCGCACACTGGTGGGAAGTCCTAGCCTCTGCACCTCTGTCCCTCGTGGACACGTGGCCTCCAGTAGCAACGAGATTTATAAAACACACGTGCACAGGCACACACATGCACACACGTGCAAACACACATGCATATTCTTGTGCGCACACGACACTCATGCACACGTGTGCCCGAGTTCATGCACACACCCACACACGTGGACGCACATGTGAACATTTCTGCGCACATTCATGCACACACATAACATGCATGTGCGCACACACGCAGAGCCAGGGAGGGGCCGCGGTGCCCACATGCCCCGGGGGCTACCTGGCTAGAAGTGCCAGGAAGGGTCGCCCGCACTTGGCTTTCAGCATCGGTACAGGGCCCCCGTACAAGGCAGCTGGGACTCCCCAGCGCAGGGGCAGGGTCTCAGTCAGCAGGCACACATGCCCTCAACAGTGGGTAAGCTCACGGTCAGGGAGAGGGGGTTCCAGGACACACGGTGATGTGGAAGTCACATTGTATGTGAGCACCACCACACACCTCGGCACCCCACTATCGCCCAACTTGAGCCCCGATTCATGGAAGAGCCCCCAGACCACAGGGCCTTGCCCCACCCTCCCTCAGGCCACTCAGCTCTGTTGTGGGGCAGGCGGGGTCTCCTAGCTCCAGTCCTGCTCTGTCCCTGCCCTGCCCCAGGACCACATGGTGTGACCGCCCAGTCCCCACCCTGTTCATCCCCCCAGGCCCTGAGGCCTGGGGCTCATGAGGTGTTGGGAGATGTCAGTTAACCCACAGGGGGACAGTCACCCTCCCACATCTGCCGTAAAGCAGTGACCAGAATGATGTCCAGGTAATCACAGCAGACTGTGAGGGCCAGCTCCTGGGGGACGAGGATAATTCAGGGACCCGGGAACCTTCCTGCTGCTCTCACGCATTGGTGCTTTACTGCGTGATGACCATGTGCCAGGGGCTGGAGAATGAGAGCCCAGCCGATGCAGCCCCACGGCCACCTGGTGACCATGGCACACAGGCCAGAGGTGACCCCACCTGCCTCTCCCAGCTTCCCAAGTGACCAGGGCACAGCCCCCAAGACCGCCAGGGCCAGCCCCACCCCACAGAACAGGGCGCTGGCACCCTCGCTTACCCACGCTGGATCCACAGTAATCACCCCCCAGGAGCTGGGGATCCAGTCTCTGCCTTGTGACTGGACACCAGGAGGGGCGCTCCCTTTGAAGGGGGTGAAAGGCCTCCTGGTGCCTGGGGCCAAATGTGGCCCCCACTCTCCTCCCCCAGTTAACCCAGGGCTCAGGATGACAGGGCTGTCATCAGCTACCCAGCCAGGGTCAGTGTCCAGCCCGCACCTTCTATGAGCACCCACGCCCCCCAGCCCAGGCCAGAAACCTGAGGCCACGTTAATACCCCCATGCCATTTGTCTTGTCCCCAGGCCAGGCCCCTCCCAAGACACCTGCAGACCAGGGCACACCCCCTATGTGGCTCAGCCTCAGAACTCCCCTCCTAGCAGGGACACAGCCCCCCATGGAGCCACCATGGATGAGCCTGCTCCCTAAGGAGCCCCTACAGGATGTGCCACACACCCCCCACAGGACCAGCAGGCAGTTTGAGAAAGGGCCTCTCCCAGCAGAGGGCACTGGAGAAGGGACAGCAGATCCCCCACACAGGCACTCCCAGACCTTGTGTGGTGTTCCCATCTCAGATGGGCCTGGCCCCTCTGAGAGCACAACCTGGGTGGCTTCAGTTGCACCCACGGGCAGGAGCCGATCGGGAGGTCAGTGACAGGTCCACAGGGGCAGGAGCAGGTCGGGAGGGGCAGTGACAGGTCCATAGGGGCAGTGAGCAGGGCCGGCAGTGGTCCCAGGCACCAGTGTGCAACTACCCAGGGCGTTCACCCAGAAAGCCAGGCCAGGGCGAGTGCAAACTGAGGGTCAGCAGCACAGCCCCTACTTACGGGTAGACTTCCCGTGGGTTTTCTCGCAGTTGGGGCAGTGGTATATGTCGATGTCTGGGGCCTCCTCCTCTTCCACTCCCACACAGCTGAAACAGAAGAAACACAGATGTGGCCAGCATTCAATGCCTCAAGTACTTGCCCAGCAGAACTTCAGGCAACTCCTGCTCAGCCCACAGGAGGGGCCCGCAGTGGTGTGAGTGCAGACGGAGCAGAGCATGTGTGAGGACAGTGGCCCACAAGGACAGGACAGGGGAAGAGGAGGAGGAAGGAGGCAGGGGCAAGGACAGTCTTGCTATGCATGACCAGCGCACACAGAGGGACCAGGCCGCCCAACAGGCCTGCCTGCCTGAGGCCACCGCTATCCTGTCACCTAGAACCAGAGAGGCCAAGGGTGTCTCGGAGGTGGGCTGCCCCCACCACTTCACCGGGGGCAGCTCGGGGCTATGGGTTAGGCCCCTCCTGACCCCATGGGGGGCTCCTGTCCCAGGGGGTGGTACTACAGCGCTGGGACAACGGAGTATCAAAAGAATGAAGTTGAATCCCTACCTCACACCATATAAAAAATTAACTAAACATGGATCAACAACCTAAATACAAGGCCTAACACTGTAAAGCTCTAAGAAGAGGACATGGTACACCCTCATGACCATGGATTTGGTCATGGATTCCTAAATAGGACACCAAAAACACAAGCAACAAAACAAAAAATAAACTGGGTATCATCAAAATGTAGAACTCTCGTGCATTAAAGGTCACTACAAAGACAGTAAAAAGGTAACATAAAGAATGGGAGAAAGTATTTGCAAAGTACTAGCGTCCAAAAGGCACAATGAGCTTTACAGCTCATCAACAAAAGGAACCACAAATCAACTATTAAACGGGCAAAGGGCCTGAACAGGCATTTCTCCAAAGGTGAGATGCAAACGGCCCACAAGCTCAGGAAAGACGCTCATCATCCTTAGTCATCTAAAGTCACCGGAATGTGCATCAAAACCATGAGATGCGACCCACACCCATGAGAATGGCTACAATTTTCACAAGAATAAAACACGGGGAAGACAGCAAGTGCCGGTGGGGATGTGGTAAAATGAGAACCCTCTTGCATCGCTGGCGACGATATAAAGATGGCACAGCATCTATGGAAGTGGTTTGATGGTCCCCCAAAAGGTTACACACAGAATTATGAGAGGCCCCAGCAATCCCACTCCTGAGTCTGTGCCCCAAAGACCTGGGAATGGGGACTCCAACACCAATGTTCACAGCAGTACTGATCCCAATGGCCAAAATGTCCATCAGCTGATGAATCGATGGCACGTATGGCACGTCCACATGACGGAGCAGTACTCAGCCCTGAAAAGGAAGGGGTGCTGGCACCTGCTGCAGCATGGGTGAACCCCAGAAACTCAAGCAGAGTGAAAGAAGCCAGACACAGAAGGTCATGTGTGGGACGACTCCATCCGTATGCAGTGCTCGGAGGAGGTAGAGGACCGACCAGCGGAGCCAGAGGCTGGGGGTGGGGAATGGGCAGTGACGGTTCAGTGGACATGGGGTCCATTTTTGGGGTCAAATATTTTGCAACTGGGTGGAGGCAATGTCTGCACAACACGGGGAAGGTACTAAATGCCACTAAAGCGTTCACTTTAAAATGGTTAAGTTTCACGTTATGTGAATTTTATGTCAATCAAAAAGACAACGGACCTGCCTGTGCCCATGTCATCGGTCACCACCGTCACCCAGCCATCACTAAGGCTGGCTGAGCGCTCCCTCTGTACCGGGCAGCATCGAGGACTGTACTGGACGCGTGCGACCCCGTGGTGGCGATGACCATTACTCACCCCATCACGAGGAGGAGCCCGGGTGCTCCAGGTAAGGCTGCTGCCCAGACCCCAAGCGCCCCCTCACTGTGGCCCCTGCCCCCTGGCCCAGGGGGGCGCTCCACGCACCAGACCCTCCGCAGCCACTGCAGCCCCCAGGGCCCTAGACACTGCCTGCCACAGCTGCCACGGGCCACCATCCCGGGAGCAGAGCCTGAGCCCAGAAAGGCCCTGGCAAATGATTTTGAACACATGGAGTCCACTCTTCACCTCAGAACACAAATGGAGCTGAAGTCCCCGTGGCCTAAAGAGTCGGTGTAAAAGACAAACCTGTCCAGAGAGGCTATGAGGGTGCGTTTGTCTGCTCGCTTTCTAAACAAACAAACAACAAACACGAAGCAAATCGGAGAGGACACTGCCGAGCTGAGAGAGAGCTCCAAGCCCACGGCAAACTTTGAAGTCCTAACTACAGAAAACACCTGCAGCAAATACGCAGTGTCCCTACCTGCCCGCCAGGAACCATGCAGGAGGCGCATTTCCCCAGTGGAAGAACACGTCTGCGGCCCACTAACCACCAGGAGAGGGGGGAGCGAGACCCACATTACCGGGTCAGCCACCCGGCAGATGCACCAGACCAGACACTCTGATCTGGAAACACTGCAGGCGGGGGGCACCCTGGGGACAGCAAACAGCCAGATCACCCCTGGTCTGTCTCCACAGCCCACCCTGCCCACCAGTGCCCCAGTGAGCGACGGCACATCTCCCACGCTGTCCCCACCCCCTATCGGCAGCCAGCTCCCTCCTGTGCCTCAGACCCACCTTGGCGGCCCGGCAGCTCACTTGGCCCCCTCCCCCGGGAGCGGGAGCTCTGCACCCCGGACCCTGGGTCAGCTGGCCTCAGTGTGCTCATCCATCGACCAGAGATCACACTGGTGTGAGGCCAGCAGGGGCTGGGCAACGGCACGGCTGGGCACGTGGTGAGCCCCCATCACCCGCACCCTCTAGCAGTTGCGCGCTTGAGCAAGAGGCAGAGCCCTGCAGACATTCAGGTCCCGTTGGGTCTAGAAACTGGACCCCAAACCCACACCCATGTGCACATCCCACGTCCACACCTTATGTCTACTTGCCAATTCTACACCCTGCATCCACACCCAGAGTCCACACCCCAGGTCTATGCCCTGACTCTACATCCTTTATCCACACCCAGAGCCACACCTCATGGCCAAACCCCACATCCACACCGCGTGTCCACACCTGGAGTCCCTGCCCTGAGTCCACACTGCTCTAGGCTGCCTGCCACTGGCAGCTCCTGGAACAGACAGATGTCCAGGATGGCCATGGGTACCTAGGTCCCATCACGTACTCCTGCCTGGCCACAAGACTCTAGGGACACACAAGGAGCCCACCATGCACACAGGATGTCTGAGGTCAGATCAAACTCAGCCACACAGACGGGGGCCCTTTCATTGGTCAGGGGTCAGGTGCACGGTGGAAGGGGGCTCCACCCTAGCTCTAAGAGAGCAGAGGGAATGGGGGCTGACTTCAGCATACCTTAACCTCCCCAACCCAATCACCACCTGCTGGTCCCACGTGTCCAGAAGCCCCATCATGCCCTGGAAGGGCCATGGCATGAACCACATGACAGGAGGGGGAGCTGAGGCCCAGGGGTCACAAATGTGCGTGCCAACACCCCTTTCCAGCCCTGGGGGCTCCTTTTTTACCACACCACCACTTAGGGGTGCTGGTCAACCTGAGCCCAGATGGGCTGGCCATCTGCTGCCCTGCACAGGGAGGCCAGACCAAAAGGGAGAGTGGGGGGTGGGGGGGTGGGTCCCTTGTTCCACCCAAGACACCTCGGGGCTGCCTCTCACCTGGGAGGGCCACCCAGGGCCTGGACCCAGGGCAGGTGCTGCGGCCACAGCCAAGGCCTCTCCCCTAATGGGTGATGCCAGCAACTCCCCCACGACTGGCATGTGCCACCAACCGGGCCCTGACACCTGTGCCTGTAACCCTGACAAGGGCCACCTGAGTGTGGAAACCAAGGTCCCAGAGCCAGCCCCCTGGCTGTGTGTGTGCGCGCGAGGCCACACCTCCTAACTCTGGTGTCTCAGGGTCCTAGGACCCCACAGTCAGTGTGTACTGCCCAGCAGCAGTTCTCCTGAAACAGCTCGCCTACTTTATTACCCCAAAGTTAGGGCTTCCCCAGTACCTCCCGAGAAATTACTGGGGAAATCACCCCAAAATCTAAAAGAACAACAGCTGTGGACAAGCTACAAGCATTTTCCCCGCCAGCAGCAAAGATGTGGAGTCTGGAGGAGACTCCCTAGGGCCCAGGCCCCGGGTGTGTGCCTTCAAATCTCCTTAGGTGAGCAATCCTCATGTTAAAGGCAAAACAGAAGCAACCACCTCATTAACCTGCCCTGCCCAAGGCGAGATTCAGCCGGCAGGTGGTCCGAGAGGTCTGTGGGAAGAAAACCCCCAACATGCACACGCCTGAAGGTGGGCTCCACACCACGTCCTCTGTAGCACCCCCCACCCCCACCCTGTAAGGGCCCCCTGATTCGGAGATCACCTCCCTGTGGAGACGGCTACTGGCTCAGGACAAGAGCTGGGCGCCCAAGGACTTCGCTGGGCGGATGTGGGGGCTCGGCTTGCCCGCCGCCCCTCCGTCCTGCCGCGCGTCTGAAGGGGACGCCTGAGGCCTCGCCTGACCCTGCCCGTGTGGGTGCTCGTGCAGAGCTGCAGCGGACAGAGGCTCAGGAGGGCCTGGTGTGCCAAGGGGGGGTGAGGAGACACCTGACTCCGGCTTCTCCACCAAAGGTGGGCATGAGAAGCGGGCACTAGAGCCTCCCCATGCTCCAGCCCCAAGCAGGGGTTCAAAGTTACCGGCTGAGGTCCAGGGACGGATTCGGGACAAGGGGTGTGGATAAGCTGAGAGCCGGTCTGCTGTGTCCCGTCCCCACACTGCGCTCACATGGCATCTGTACAAGGCAGTCCGACGGGACACTGGCCCTGCGGAGACTGTGACCTCGGAAAGTCTGTGAGGCTGGGAGCTGTGAACCAAGTGAGAGCAGCTGTGGTGCCTGGGGGAGCAGGGAAGAGGGCACAGAGGGATAGAGAGGGGGGAGGGGGGGAAAGGGGGAAGGACACTGGGGAAGGGAGGGAGGGGAGGGAGGAGGAGAGAAGGGAGGGAGAAGGGGGTGGCAGGGGGAGGGGAGGGGAAGGGGGAGTGGGAGGGGAGAG